TTAGTTCGTATTATATTTCTCTCAAGTGTTACACACCAATGAGTTTTGTTCCTACAAAGCAATGGAATAGTCCAACTACCCCTCGTTTCTCATGGCCAAACATCAAAGGCATTCCGCGTCCGGTGTGTTGATTAACTGTCACGTGATTGGGGTATGTCACTTTATTGCAACTCCAACGGTAATCGTAGTGTCTAGGTAAGTGTCTGGCGATGTTGCAAAGTCCCTCGGTAATTACCTACACGGTGCGGGAGTTAGGTGTATGTAAATATCTTGCGCCCGCTGTAAAGAATGAAATAAAAAAACTGACAATCTTTTGAGTGGAGTGGCATTTACAAAATACCGTACACTGAAATGAATATAATAGGTTAATGAATGGAAAATTCTTTTTCTTTTTAATGATGGGCGCAGAATCAAAAGGCGAAAAATTGCTAAAGTGAAACATTCAAATAAAAGTAAACAACCTATTTAGTTTAAAATAGCACAAGTAACAATAAGCCCATTGCATATCGCTTACTTTATTACATAAAAATAATTAAAAAAATTGATTGGTTCATTGTCGATCAAACACATCAACTTTATTGTCTAAACAGGAACGTAACCTTAACATCCTTATGTTCACTTTTTTAGACTGTAGCGCGAAGTTTTTAGGGCAAAGTAGCCGATTTCATCCACAATTGGACTCTGAACTGGGAGTGCTAGATACATGTGTTATTCGATCATCGTTTTTAGTACCGGACTTTGTCTATGGAGGTATGCAGGGCTGTGGTGTGAGACACCTATCAACCGAACGCGTCCCCGTACACGAGTACTGACACCACCACAATCTACAACTGATCCCAAATACAGCTAAACGTCCCAACGCAAAAAATAGGAAACATCAAACTGACATCAATGCTAACAAGACACGATGTGCCCACGTCGCTCACGCACACACACAGCGACCAAAAAGGGAGGTTACCACTCAAAAAAAGTCTGAATATATGACAGAGACGAAGTGCACTGAATATAAACTCACATTTCACTGTTAGGTCCATGTTTGCTTTTCACATCGGGTCACAGAAGCGGCGATTTCCTCAGGATCTCGAGGCGAGGCAAATTCCAACAATACGTGGGACCACAAACACGCCAAGTCTTTGCACACTGAATCGTGTATACAGGCACCCCACGTGCGTTGCGCTGTATCACAAAAAAACTCCGACTCAATTCCTATAGGCACTGGTCACAGAACTTACAAACCATGTGCTGTGCAGTGTTCAGGTCGCGATAAACCTTCCTACCCTCACTATTCTCCACGATGTCTCCGTTGCCTCATTGTCCTTCCTGTGAAGTTGTCCTAAAAACCTCCTCGCGCCGTTCGTCTCTCCTGCTAAGTTCTGACCTTGGGGTCATTGAAGCGTCCTCAGCCAATCGCTAAACGCGAGTCACCTCATTCGCCATGATAAAATGACAGTTAGTAATGTTCAAAAGAAAATGTCCGATGATGGTCGAGACCATTCAAGAAAACGGTTGGTGTCGCAATAACATAAAGTAACTACCAAGATGTGGCAACAACTTGCAAAATCTCACAACAAGAGGCAGGAAAGGGACTGTTGCCCCAAGGTTTACTAGAGAAAACTATGGGTGCGACATATTGCATTCTCATCATCCCCAATCTGTATGTATATTGCTAATTGGTGGAACAGCTCATCAAAGAACACAAAAATAACTTGCAGCAATACGTGGATAACCGCCAATTTTACCATTTCTGCACTGCTTCAGATATTTCATCCTCAGTACACCTAATGGAAAAACAACACTTCTTGCACCAATTGCCAACATTGTATTATATATGATGTCCTGAATACTAACGGATGCTTCACTGAGTGATGCTAGACTACGTCCCAACAAAACACAATTTCAAGTGTCTGATTGCGGCAGTCGCGGAATAATTGCTAGTAGTGTATGCCTGTTCACAAGAGTGGGAAAAAGCCATGTCGTTGCAAGAATTGCGATTTAATCTTTAATAAGCGAATACAATACAATATATGGTTATTTTTGTTTACATATTTGTCATTTTTGATATAAATAATTGGTGAATGTCGAAATAAATTTCCCAAAATTTTAATCAATTATGTTTAACAACAACAAGTCGCCAAAAAATAAACGATAATTTGCGGAATTTTTGTACAGCATGTGTTAGCAACACAGTTGTCAGTACACTGCACAGTAGTTAGTTCATTATTTTCCACTTAATAAGTTCAGAACATTGAAAACATTGAAATAAAACTATTTAATATATTGTGCGTAAATGGTGAGAAACTGCAATTATCAAAGAACCAGCCAACCGTGATTGAAAAGCTAGAAAATCATGAGCATATTATTGTAACTAGTTATTTAGGAGCAGAAAAGCCAGGCTGTAGGAACAAATTTACAATAGAAGGTGATTATGTTGCTTCCAATCAGCAAACTGGTGAATCACAATCTTATCTACCATATTCCGTTGCTGTTAATTCCCAGGATGACGTTATCGTCACAGACTACTATAATAATCTAATACTTGTACTGGATTATGAACTACGCTAAGTCAAAAATAAAAGAAATTGAGTTTAAAGATAGGGAAAATGTTGACTACGAACCACGTAGTATCACTTGTGACAGATATAACAATTTATATACTTTTGATCAAACTTACAACGGAAGTATGGTGCATAGTAAAAATTATAAATTAACTTACGAATTTAAAAACTATAACCAATCAACTGCCATTGTTGCAAATAGTGACGTTTTATTGAGATTTGAAGTCACTAGATTCGCTGGCGGCGGTGGTATATACAATTGTGATTTAATTAACTATATGCGGCCTAACCACCATAGTGATCAAAATTATTTAATTTGTTTTCTGACAATATTGGCCATACTCACTATACAAAAAGTGTCAAGTTAAATTGTTGCAATCTTGAATGAAAATCAAATATGCCGGCGAAATCACGTGACTAATTCAAATTATTTGTTTGCTCTATGAAGAAATTCATTATTGCGATGCAACATGGCAAATGATCGATTAAATACAACTTAAATTAAACTTTCTGTTTCAAGAAAATTAAAAATGCCAGCCATACCTAATCAATAAGAATTATACGTACATGAGACACTGTCAATTTCAAATGGTAGTAAATAAAAATATTTTTTTTTGTCATACTGTCAGGGAGAGAGAGACATGGTCCTAAGAATCATAGTCAAGGACTGATCTCACCATTAACAAATACAACAGATTATGTATCGTTTTCTCCAGCATTCATGATCAAGGAAAGATTGTTGCCCTCCGATGAAGAATAGCAAATAATTTTGTAAAAATTGAGGAAAATCATAACAGTGTGACAAAGTAACATATTTTTGTAATTATTCAGTTTAAAATTGAATTTTTCAACGAAATTACCAAGTTGTGTTCATGCATTCAGACATTTATTCACCGAATTTATCAAAGCTGTGAATTACTATTATTAACTTTCAGAAATTTACTCAACGAATTTACCAAGCTGTGTTTTACTTATTAACTTTATTAACAAATTTAACAAGTTTGGTTAAATATATTGTTGTATTTTTATCTAACTTTTATAAATATGTTGGAAGTGGTTTTTGGGTTAGATTTCAGATTGAAAGTGCTGAAACAATGTTCATATTATTCATATTAACATCTATCAGTTGTATAAAATGTTCATGATTAAGATGCCATTTTACTTGTTTTAACGCTACCCCAATACTTCGTTTCTCATCATTGAACTCAATAAATGGCGTCATGTATATAACAATGGTCAGCAATCGATTCAATGCATCTTCCTTCAACCTATTGCACAATGGTGACTTCACAATATTCTCAGCGGAAAGGCCTCATTCTTAAGTAGCTGTGTTTACTAGCAAAACAAAATGTAGTTGTACTAGTAGGATTTGTGGCAATATAATTCAACAGTATTGAATACTCTAGCTCTAACGCCATTAGTCATTTTGTCTAGATTATTAAGTGGGGTTCTATCCTTATTCTGTCATCGTAAATTATAAAGTGATTTTAACATATTCAAGTTATCTCTCCATACCAAATATTTAATTAAGTAATTCAAACATACTGTTTTGTTTTTAACAAAGTAGAATGTCTTTCGTCGTTTATATGAACGTTTACAATAATTTGTGTTTAGTATATAGAATAATATTTTCCTTTTTTTATATACAAATGATTACATGATTACATTACAAATACTAAATTCGCGAAAATTGTTTTGCAGAACAAAGAGACATGCATCAGACAGACACTTGATTGCATCAAGATCTATAAATTCAGAGTTCAGTCATCTGTTAGCGCATGTCTTGCTTTTATGGATAACACACATTTCAGGTAGACAGTGAGTAACAGTGTCTGTAACAGTCCCACGCAAACGTAATTATTCAAGCCCGGTTTCTATTAAATTATTGTAAACAGGCGCGGTAAAACCTAACGAACCACCGTTATTGCGAACTCCGAATACACAATATTCACGTAGTGAAAGTTCAGTAAGTTTAGCAACGTACCTCAATACACCTGTTCACGTGGACGACATTTCAGTTCTTACTTGTTGCACGCGGCAAAGACAATCACATTAACTCAGGTTTAAACTCTCATCAGAACCTATGCTGTACCATGCCAGAAGTCAGTCGTCGATTTGCCACACTTCTCAAACTCAATTTGCATAACAATTCGTTCATGAAATTCGTTTCTCTAATTGACAAAATTTGCATAAGAATTCATTGCATACAACTTCGACCGCAAACATAGAAAAACAATATGTAGATTCAGTTTTATCCTGACATACATGTAAGAGTATTACAAGAGAAATTCCATAGGTCAAAAATCGTGTGGTGTTTGCTGAGGAAAACAATAAATGTAACTTTATTGCAGTGTTGCTAAGCAATCTTACACGCCCCGTATGTAACCGATTCGACTTGCCCATCACTTGCTTGGTTCAAAGTTCACAGAAGCACAGTGTTAAGCGATGGCACGATTCAGTGGAGCAAATCACAAGGAATTAATCAACCATCTTCGTGGTGAGTTCCGGCTGTTTGTTATATTAATTTACATATTGGGTTGCGTATCTATGGTGCATTGCACTTTTCTGTACAAATGACCACATGCGTTTCAGCTTAGTTCGAGTGAACATAACTATAAAGCGTGTTTTTTTAGCTTTGAAAAAGAAATCTGATATTTTATCCGAATACATATCAAAAAGTTGTGTTTGTGAGAAATGTAGTTTCGTGTTTTTTTTTAAATAAGGTGGAAATCAGAAGCACGTACACATTCCACTGCCCCATCACGTGGCCGTCAAGAGCTAGGATCGGAAGGGAGTAAAGTATTGATTAGTTGCACCTTATATCACGTAGACAGGTATCTTAAAATAAACAGGTCAGTTTGTTTAGATTTAACAAACCGTTACTATAACACGTAAAACTGATAACTCATATAATATACTGTGAGGCGTTTGACAATGTTGTAAACACGGACTTTGAACTTTGAACACCGACCAAATGTCAGACAAGCGCAAACTAGTACCAGACAAACAGGTCAGGTCAAACCATAGAAACGTGCCCATCTTTTTTAGCTAACAATAACGCTATGTCAGGACAGTTTGTATCTGTATAACTAGATATGCGATACAAATTGACTGTGAAAGATTGGTATTTTTTCCTGATTTGTAGGAATCTAAAAAATGTGTTTCACAATTTATCTCTTTATTTAGTTTCATGCCGTAATCAAGATGGCGGCCCCATATAGTAAATATTGCATTTATTTTATTATCACTTATGCGCCATCTGACTGTGTCTTCATTCGTCTTTTTTTATCTCTATAAGAGGAGACAAATAATCAAAACACACAGACAGTTCGTGATCGAGACATTTCAAGAATGCTGGCAAGTCAGTCGACGTAACGTCCTATATTATCACATTATTATCGACACGATCGCAGTTCGCATGTATTTAATTTCAAGTCGCCTCAATAAATAACGTGACGTGATACCTGACGGTGTTTTCATCAAATACGGACTCTTGTCAGACCGTTTGAGATTTACGCTGCTTCTTTTGACATGGGAATCTCCTTGCTTGGTCGATAATATATTTATTAAACTCTAACCAAAAGGAAAACAGTGACAAATATCATTAGGTTGATGTTCTTATCTCGAGATTAAGTGCTCCGAACAACACGTAACTCCGATGGCAGCCATATTCTTCAGGTCGAACAAAGGCAAGATGACAAGATGAAGTCAATGGAGAAGGTATTCTCAATAACTCCGGATCCCGTAAACGAACTACCGTCGTCGTCTAAGTCAGAATGCATGCATATTCTGCCCACAGTTTTTTGAAAGAAATAGACAATTAAATGTCTGCATGTAGGATGCAAAGAAAATATACAGCAGTTGTAAATACCACAAAGTCATTAGCAAAATGCTAATAGTAGCAGACGACTATTTCCTGGCGTTTTAGCCGTTCCACTTTCCCAGGAAAGTTCGAATACATTGACGTCATTAAGCCTCGTAATTTTGTACTCGTTCGACCTCAACAAAATGGCTGTTACTAGAGTTACGTAATGTTTAGTGAGATAAATCCCTTAAAAACAACTCCAAACAGATGATTGTTGACACAGTTTTTGCACTAGCGGGTGTTTAATAAACATACTGTCGAATATGGTGTGTTCTATATGAAAATGGTGTACTTTCATCGAATTTTATTTGCGACGCCATTTGGCGCAAGTCCCTGGGATGAACCTTACCTCATCTGTGTCGATAAAAACCATAATTTCTAAAAATAACAAATTTAATGACACCAAATGTACCCGGAATGACTAAAATAGCATCATGAAAACTAAAGACCAACACAAGAAGAGATATGGACCCACAGCTAGATCCACCCCGTTTGCGTTTTCGACATTTTTCAGATGTTGTAACCAGTAATCCAATACGAAAGTGCAACTGTTGGCTGGTTCCCGCCTCAAGTGTCATGGCGCAACTGTCATATGAGACCTGTAACTAGTAATGGGTCCAGCATTCTGATTCGTCTATCACTTTCCCGTTGCACAGAAACAGCGAGAAATGCTAGAACTATCTCAAATATGAAGTATAAGCAGGCAAACTGTATAGACATGGCGTAATGAGAACTTTTCTTTACGGAAAACAAATACAAGAATGTTTTCAAATTACGTCACTTAGTTACGTACCCTTGGGTCGGAATCCCGGCCCAGTGAAACAATATATCGATTACTAGTTACCTGCGTCCAACTTACCGTTCGCAAGAGATGCCAGGAACCAGCGAAGTGCACCTGTATGCCACACTTATATAGAGTGGTTTGTGCATGCGCCCAACCAAACGCAGCGTCTCCCAAATATCGTTTATCGTAATATGCTGTAATCCGCGAACCGCTAAGTTGAATCGAAAACAGTACAGCCAAGTCGATGATTTCTTAAAGATAACATGTTTCTATTTATCATATTTCCCAAACGTCTAAACGTAATTTTATTCTGTAACTTACAATATTCTTTGGAATAATTTGATTTAAATTCAGAAAATGAAAAATAAAATAGTCATGAACGTTAGCCGCTATTTTCAAAAACAAATATCTCACACGTCGTGTTCAAAATAAATATAAGATGTACGTTTTCGTTTAAATACATTGTTTACAAGAACAAGGCTTCTTCACATAACTTATATACTGGTATATGATCTGCAACGCAATATAAGTTTACTCATTTGTCGTGTTTTTGCGATTCCCTTAGACACTGGCAGTATAAAAACTGATCGTATTTATGACGCCATGATGGCAGTTGAAAGAGGAGATTTCACAAAGAGCAACCCGTGCACGGATGCACCTCAGAGCGTTGGTATGTATATAACGAACTTTAGTTCGAAACCAATCGTTCGAGCATATTCGATATAGATGAAAGACTTTAAACACAAACGGCCGCCTCGTAGAATTTTCCCACAAACAGTGCTTCAATATCTCTCATCGTTGAGTTCATTATTCCAAATGATTACATAGAGAATATTTGAAAAACAATTTAAAATAAACATTACTTTCTCGCTCTCTGAAATATTTCTGCAGCCATTTGCGTTTTTGACCCTTACATCTATCTTGTTCTCTCATTTATAGGTTATTCAACAACAATAAGCGCTCCACACATGGTACGTATATATTATTTGCGTGACTTATAATAGTGTATCGTAGTTGTATTGTTTATAATGGTCACCCATTACCATTGAAAAGACACGATGTTACTAAGAACAGTTTTCAATTTCAGCCATTTTACCGAAAAAAATAGAAAAAAAACTTTTTCGTCGCTCATAGAAGACACTAATTAAACGAGCTCATTGGGCCCGATAGTATGTTTTCGGACGTCACAAGCATACAAACGATTAAATATATTTTCTCACGGCTATGGATTTTTTTTCCCATGTCGTCTAGATAATTTCGTAGGACATGATCATAACATTGCTGAAAACTTCTGAAAATTTGTTTAAATTCGTAATGCGTAAAACACTGTGAATATGTCAGTCTGTGCTTGTTTGTGGAATAGATCGACAACAACAAAAGCACAATCTACGTTCACAAAGACTACAACTAAATGCAATGTTTACGTAAGGAGGGGTGGTAGTCAAGTCTACATGGCGTACATCATAGTAGTAATGTCTGGTAAAAACAAAACACAAGTTTCTTTATATGTGTTTCTTCGCACATAATACCAGTTACTTCACATGCTTTACCCATTTGCGCTCTTTACACAGCATGCCCATGCTCTGGAATTACTATCAGACAAGTTACAGGAAGGCAGTCGAGCTTTAGATGTTGGATCTGGTACTGGTTACCTTACAGTGTGTATGGCTCTCATGGTACGTAATTAACTCTAAATTACAATATTTAGATTCATGGGCGTATAAGTAGTTCTTACATTTCATGTAATTATTCTTATAACAATAAATGATAGATTAAGACATATTGTCAATATATATACATCGAAGGAGACTGAAGAGCATGTATTGCACTAGTTTAGACAGGCCAATGAAACATGCTGGTACATATTTTCGTCATGCTGTCGCCGATTACACATAATACTATAGTATTTATTTATCGTGCTTATCATAAATGTATTTGCAACATAATAGTGCGGAGAGAGTGGTAAAGCTGTGGGTATTGATCATATACAAGAATTAGTGGAATCATCGGTGAAGAATGTGAAGAAACAACATTATGATCTGTTGACGTCGGGAAGAGTGATACTAATAAGTATATTTATTTATCTGCCTGTTTGTGTGCTTAATTGATTTTATTTCGTCTGCCCGAATCTGTGAATTCTGTATTTGAATGTTTATTCATAACAATGTATGTTCAATGGCTCGTCTATTTCATCGATTGCTCTGCTAGTGTGTAATATATTATAATAGGTTTATGCGTAGAACGATTTCTGTATGATATAACTCATACATAGTGTTGCATATTTCCAGATGGTGAAGGCAGAGACGGATACGCTGAAGAAGGTCCGTATGATGCAATACATGTCGGAGCAGCACCTGACGTAGTTCCCCAGGCTGTAAGTACACGCATAATTGATTATGTTTATACTCATTCCTAAGAAATAGTTGAAATAATTGAGTTTGTTTATACTCATTCCTAAAACAAAAATGAAATAATTGAGTTTATTTATACTTCTACGAAATAGACGCCGAAATTTCGCCTTGATTGGCCGCATTATAGCTTGCACTCTATATTGGGCACGTGCTTTGTGAACTCTGAGGTTGCCGACATCAGTTCAAGTATACAAACACACAGCAATTTGAGTATATCAAATGATCATTACATACAGAGCGACAAATAGTTTCAACTGTATATCGCACAAACATTGGTTATTGTATTTCTTTTCATTTTCAGTTACTTGATCAGTTAAAACCTGGCGGACGTCTAGTTCTTCCCGTTGGTCCCAGGGGAGGCAAACAAGTGTTGCAGCGGCATGACAAATCCCCAAATGGGAAGCTTGTAAAAACAGAGCTAATGAATGTCATATACGGATCACTGACTAGCGTGGATAACCAGTGTCCTGATTTATGGAAATGATTAGTTATATACCATGGTTTTATAATAGGAATGTTTGCTGAAATATTTTTGCGCAATATGAATCTTGCTATTCATCACTCTCAAAGGCTTGTCATTTGTATAATTGTACTAAAAAAAATATAATGCTCGTTCAGATTTGTTAGACAACGACAGGGTGTATTGTACGTGTAATTATGTTTAAATTGTAATATAGACAGACATTTGCATTTTATGCATGCGTACTCTTTTTCTTATGGTAACCAATTGTAAGACCCAGAGACGAGAGCATAGCAGAATTCATAGTCATAGTCATAGACTTTAGAAATATGTTAACGCACCTACAATTTATATATTATGTTTAATGTTATCGCTAATCACAAATAAATATTTGTTTAAGTGCAGTTCAAGTATTGTATTTAATTGGTAGATTAGGGCGGTACAAATGTTTATAAGCAAACAATAAGTTCGTATTGTATGCTTTCGATGAGTTGTCCTACGAATGGTCAAAACAGAGTTGAAATATTGGTCTCTCAGTTCATGTATGCTTGGAAATAGCAACGATGAGTTACACACGTTGTCACTGTGGTTGAAGACAAAAATAGCGTTAGTTTCAAATGACGTCATTGAGCGTTCATTCACAATCATTAAAAAAACAGTCACAATAAAGCAAATCATTCTGGGCATTAGTAGTTCAAATAGCTTGTCAGCGGTTCTAATTCGATTTCAAAATAAAATTATTTTTTCAAAATTCATATTCATCATTACAGCAAAAAATATACTAATTATGCAAATTAGGTAATTAATATGCATGGATATTAAAAAAAAACTTACGGGAGTGTCATTGTAATGTCAATTTAAAATTGAGTAATCATTATGCAAATTAGGTAATTAAAATACTTGGATTTTTCCACAAAACTAATCAGATCTCCAGATTTTTCTATGACATCTATGTACTAAGTTTAATTGTCATTTGATTGTTAGTACTTGAGTGAGTCCTTAGTTAGGTAATTAATATGCATGTATTTTTACACAAAAAATAATCAGGTCTACACTATGTTCGAGTGCATATAAGTTTCATCAAACTCCAATCAATAGTTCTTTATATATCAGAGTAACAGTCATGGAACAGCTAATAATTAGCTAATTATCATGCAAATTAGGTAATTATTATGCATGGATTTAACCAATCAGATCGATTTTGTGCATTATTCTGGAGAATCTATGAATTAAGTTTCATTAAAAACAAAAAT